GTTGAAGTAATTTAATTCATATAATTGGTGACTTTTAGACTTTTGGACTAGCACGATAAGACCAGACTTGACTATATTAATCCTGTGGTTATTTTGATACAGTATTAACGAATTTTGGAAACATTATAAATTATTAAAAGTAGGGAAAGAGCGAATGTAAAGATAGGAGACGAAAGATTAGAAGAAGTGGCTGATTTTAGGTACCTATCTAGGAAATCAGATTAGTCAGGACGGAAGGAGTGGTAGCGATATAAAGCAGAGGATAGCGCAGGGTAAAATCGCCTTCAATAAAAAGAAGTCAATTTTAGAAATTCGAAAAAGATTGTTAAAGATGTTTGTTTGGAGCGTGGCGCTGTACGGGTGCGAAACATGGATGGTAGACACGGAGGAAAATAAAATGTTCGAAGCGTTCTAAATGTGGTTTTGCAGGCGAATGATGAGGATACCGTGGACAGAGAAGGTTAGAAATGAAGAGGTATTAGAAAAAATGGCAGAACAGAGGACTATATGGAAGTTAATAAAAAATAGGCGAGATAGGTTGGTAGGACACCTTCTCAGGCATGAAGGTCTAGTCAGAGACATTAGAGGCAGAAACGGAAATTATCAGGGGTAGAAGTAGACCTAGATTAGATTACTGGTCACTAATACATAGTTAAGGATGTGGGATGTTCAAGTTTTAGGGAAGATTAGCTCACGATAGGAAGGAGTGAAGGTGCTTGTCCAACAGTCTTAGGACTGACGACCTTATGATGATGATACAGTTGACTTACAAGAAAAGTGCACAAAACAATTAGCTCAGGATATGAGAAAGTGAATGATGATCTTGATAAACAAGTAACATACCTGTTCAAAAGTATTCAGAAATTCCATTTCAATACGTATTAACCAACATTCCCATATTGCTCATGATTTACTCGCTTAATTTAATCTAATTAGTATTCAGCAGTTCAATTAAGTGAATAATTTAAAAATCAGATATACTTTTCGTTGTTTCACAAACACCTATTTGAACGTTAATATAATCAGAATAAGGAAATGCGTTACATGTTTAATCGGTGTAGATAAACGTTTAAGACACATTTATAATATTTATGTATACACATGTATGCACATATTATGACTATAAATCGGAACCAGTATTGATCCATTTGTGGACAAAAGGCACTTTCTTCTGGGGATTTTACTTTAAATACTCGGAAATTGGTGTTAACGAATCAGTTGGGACTTAAGATCGAAATTAGTCAAGACTCAATAATGGATAGCAGTTTAGTAAGTAGAACTATTAAGTTATTAATGATTAATCGACATTTTTAAAAAGGATATTCACTTTTTGTGTTAGATTTTTTTATACCTAAGCATAAAACTAAATATAATCATTAAAATTTTTATTATACACATGAAGGATTCTAGAAGTCCAACTGATTTTTTTAGAAATAATGTGTAAACGGTCTATAACGAAACATTCCCTATAACGTGGACGGTTCCTGAGTTTGGTAGGTTTACATATAAATTATTTATTTATTACCATTCTGTGGCAAAATGGTCATTCTCTATAACGAAAATTTGGAAAATACAACGTTGCTGTTATTCCCTTTATAACGAAAACTCTATAAAAAAAAGTAATTTTTGGTTAATTTTGTTATAGTCTATATCATGTTTTCGAGTCATGTATTACTTATTTTGTAAGTTTTTGAGTTTATTTTGTTTGCACTATACCCAATATTCTGGAAAAACAAAGAAATGTTTTATAAGGCTTCAGAAAAGTTTTTAATTTATTATACGTAAAGGTCCTTAGCAAGAGTACGTACATTTTCCTTAATAAAGATCTAAACAATCAAAACAATATTGAAGTATGTAATAAAAATCTTTTCTGAAACATTATAAAGCACAATACTTATTCTAAAAAAAATTAGAAAATTAAAAGGGAATATTACCATTGACACCTATAAAATTAGTTATATATTTTTTATTAGACAGGGTTGACTGTTTAATTTTTCTTTAAGGTTCTTGCACTTCTGTTGATTACAATAGGAATTATTTACTGCCAAGAAGACAAGAAAAAGTTAGAAGAATACGTAGATTATCACGTAAGTGAAAACAATAAATTATTGAAAAATATCGTAATACCTGATGGTTTATGTCGTTTATAATAGGTCAACAGCTTTGCAATTTTTAAAATATCGTTCAGACAAATACTTGATAATTTGCCAATGTAGTTTCGGAGAGGAAAATATACGAGATTTTAGTTTGTTTAAAATTTACATTCCAAAATTTTAATGTGAAAGATTTATCATTTTATCAGAATTTTATTGTCAACCGTGAATTATTGAAATATTTTGATAGGAAAGGCTTAGGGTCCAAAACAGGTACAAATACGGATGACAATACCAATAAAAGAGTTAGAGATGAATAGTAATAAGAAATAAATGAAAATTAGCCACACGAATTATATACATTTATAAGAGAACTAACAAAGAGTTAGAGATAGTTTTAAATAAAATGGAAGCGGTATTGACAAAATAGTACTGTATGAAAAATACTAGTATACAAGGGAAGGAAAAGTAGGGAAGGGGCGATTATAAAGATAGGAGACGAAAAATTAAAAGAAGTGGCTGATTTTAGTTATCTAGGGTGTCAAATAAGTCAAGACGAAAGAAGTAGTAGGGATATAAAGCAGAGGATAGCGCAGGGTCGAGTCGCCTTCAATAAAAAGAAGTCACTTCTATCCTCGCGAACGGTTAATTTAGAAATTCGAAAAGGTTGTTAAAGGTGTATGTTTGGAGCACGGCGTTGTACAGGTGCGAAACATGGACAGTGGGCGCGGCGGAAAAGAAAAGATTAGAAGCGTTCGGACTGTGGTGTTACACGCGAATGATGAGAAGGTTAGAAATGAAGAGGTATTAGAAGGAGTAAAAGAACAGAAGACTCTGTGGAAGTCAATAAGAAATAGACGAGATAATAGGACACCTTCTCAGACATGAAGGTCTAGTCAGAGACATATTAGAGGTAGAAACGAAAGTTAGGAGGGGTAGAAGTAGACCTAGATTAGATTACTGTTCGCAAATAGTTAAGGATATGGGTTGTTCTAGCTTTAGGGAAATGCGAAGATTAGCGCAGGATAGGAAAGAGTGGAGGTGCGTGTCCAACCAGTCTTAGGACTGACGACCTTATGATGATGATGATGATAAGAGAACTAGTACCTACCTACAGTTAATTTTAACGAAATTTGAAAGCTTTGCCCTGGCCCTACAAACATAATGGAATTTGGTTATAAAATCGTCGGTAATAACGTCGCCGAACAATACCTCTACTGTAATTGCGTTTTAATGTCATTTTGGGAAGCAGTTCAATTATCTGTCAGATGCTGTAGGTATTGATTTTACAGGCACCTCCCCATTACCATTACGATTATCATGTTCACGATNAATATTATTATTCTCCAAAACCTACTATAAAAATATAAGTGCTATTAAAATTAATTTTACGCGGTTGTTCTTATAAAAGGGCCTTTTTTAAGGTGGTTCGTCTAACCTCATAAAAATTATTTATGGTAACTTCACGCATGGTCAACAAACGTAGTATTTGTGGTAATCACAAGCCACAAAGTAATAATTGGGTACTTTATAAAGTTAAATCGCTTTAATTCCATTTGATTGATGTAAATCCCAAACCTCTTCCTACTATTATTTTGTTTCGGAAAGTTAATTAGAGATTTAGTCTGACTTATTGGTAGGTAGTCATATATAAGCAGATGCGGTACGGAGATACAGGTCCTTATTAACACTTTAACTGTTAGTCTGGAGAAAACTATTAATTTTACATTTACGGTCATGATTTTCTTTATAGATACAATTCGTGCATTGGAAAATTGCTTAATTCGAATTGAAAACACTAACAGATCAAAATTGTTGTGTACCGTGAGTTTCTTTTACTTTTCTGCTATTGTAGGTCACTATTTCTAGAACATCCTGTATCTATATTAATATATGGTATTCATATTTAATTATTATATTCAAACTAAATGCAGATTTTAATAATTTCGTATATTATACCCTCTCTCACAGTCTCTCAGTTATTGCCTAGGTGTTTTTATGGATCTCTCACAGAGAGACTGAATGAATAAAACTGAAAAATTGAGAGACTCGAGTCTCTCATAGACAGACTGGGATCTCTGAAATATGTCGAAAAAAGAAAATTTTAACCATGTCTATCGAGACACCAGTTATTGAGAGATTCGAGTTTCTCGTTCAAGGATTCGAGTCTCTCGTTCAGAGACGGGGTACGAAACGAGGATCTCTCTATGAGCGACTCGAGTCTNATGGTAAAGACCCAATTTTTTTGTGGCAATTTTACAAATCAACCTTTCGCCAAAAAAAAAACATCTATGTATGTAAATTTATAAGATATAAGATTGCGTAAGTAGCGATTGTTTTGTTTTAAGCGCCAGCTGGATGTAAAAAACGTATTGATGTCATCTTCAAGTAAATGCATTAGTTGACTTTATTATTATGATAGATACATTACAATCAGGCTCTAAATTTACTTTTAGGTGGGATGAAGTAGATTATACAAGAAACCGCAATGGTTTTTTTTGTTTTAATGGTTAATAAGAAAGAAAAAATAAATGCATAGTTAAAAAATTGTAAAAAAAAGTTTATGTTTGTTCATGTGCTTAGAAAATGAAAATAGATATTTGTATTGTATATGTATTTGGAAATATAAATCATTTGGTATTTTTTTGATTTTGGAAAATCTCAGTGGTTACTTATGAGTCTGTTTTGTGAAAAGCATTGCTTTATTGGAAAATAACGAGATAGTTCCTGTTTTTATTTCCTTTTGATTTTGCCTGCTTTAAAAGATGTACGAAAAGTTGTAAGTTCGAAAAATTTCTTTAAGGAAACTGAGATAGTCAAGAATGTTTTCCAATTATTTACCGCAAATTAAGCAAAGTGAAAGTGTGTTCGGTCGACAAAAAAATACTGGTAGTTAACAAAACATACATGCAAAAGAGCGATAACAATCCTAGTTTTCCCACTCTGGACGGCGATCGTGCTTATGGTGGTCGTTTTCGACATTGCGGAGGCCGTATCGACGCCAGAGGCCTCCGGACCATTCGTGCACTCTCCCGATCCTTTTTCCCCAGCATTATCACCGGACGTCGGCGGCGGAGGCGACGACGAAGCATCCATCGAGCCGATAGCGTCTATCACAAGCGAAAAGAATACCTAACGCGCGACGAACCACCAAACCGGCGGGCGTCCCGACGCGCTCCTCGGTCGGAAAAATATGAAACGCGAAACTAAAAACTAAGTCGACGACGAAAAGGAACTGAAAAAAAATCACAGCCGAGAGAGAACGGGTGTTCGAAAAACACTGGCGACGACGTCCGCGTCCGTCGACGTCGTCTAGGACGAGGAGGAGGAGTAGTAGTAGTAAACGCACGGGATATTTTTGGTGGTCGTAAAAAAAAAGACGCGTCCGCAACGCAAGGCGAGCGCGGCGTCCAAGCCCCTCGGCGGAGCCGCGAGTAATAAACTGAATGAAGGACTTGAAGACACGCGGTAATCATCCTTCGGCTTCGGCTCGCGATGGCCACCACATCTCTCTCCGCGTTCGCCTCCGTGGCTGCTGCTGCTGCTGCTGCTGCTGATGATGATGATGATGACGATGATGGTGTTTGAGAACCAGGCAACAAACGCTATGGCATTTAGTGTGTGTGGATGGATGTATGTATAATAATTATATGTGGGGCCCACAGCGACTCTGGCGTAGACTACAATGAGTTTCGTTTAGCTTGCAAGCGGGACCGGTATGGAAATATGGCTGCAGGCATACATAACCCGACCGACATGTACCAGCTGAAGATCTAACAATAAGTAACTAATCTCCAAGACGCAGCGATTTAAGTGAAGATTGCAAATTTGCAAAGTTTTTGCATCGTTAAAAGTTTAACCCGTTTAAGTAAAAATATTATACCATGTACCTGTTCATTAAATGTTTATAGAATAAATGTGCATATTTTTTAAGAAATTTTCATATTTAAGATTTTTTTTAATTAGAAAGGGTGAAATGTTCTTGAAACTGAATTATCTTGATCGACGTTTCGCATTTCGATCTTAGGCTTAATCATAATCAATAAGAAACAGTTCACTTTTTTCTGATTCCTTTCTAATTGCAAAAAATCTTGATATCATTGGGGAAGATAGTACTCAGGATGAATTGCCATATTTATCTCACAAAGATATGTAAAAAATTATTATCCCAGGCTTATTAAAATGACTAAAACTACTGCATTACTTACTTTAATTTAAATAAAGCCCTAAACCTCCGAAATTCTACATAAAACCGTTTAGAAACTTATAACGGATTTTGGCATCCAAGGTGTCATCGAAAATATCGAAATCCGTCTAAGTTTCTAATTTTTGGCAGTTTTCAGCGTGTATTTACCTAAATTCCACAGTACTTTAGTTGATTTTCTTGTACAGGTGATTCTTCCGGCTCCAAATAGCGAGTTTTTAAAAATGCAGCATTAAACTTAAATTTCAACCCTATATGGCAAATGAAATAAGTTTTACTAATTCTATACCAAACACATAAAATATGATAGATAGTGATTTTAAAGTGTGTTTCTACTATCAATGTAATTTGTACAATTTCAAAGAAGAAAGTTCACTGAAATGCAAATTTGACCATCGAGATAGACCATTTTAAATTTTGCAGTACCTAATGAATAGAGGATGTTAGATATCAATAAGAAATAGGCTAGGACACCTTCTCAATCCTGAAGGAAGGGCTAGTTAGAGACATACGAACCAGAAACAGAAAGAGGTGTTAAAAGGAGTTATGCTGAAGCTAGATTATATCTGTGTTCACAGTTAAGGATGTGGGAAGTTCTAGCTTTAGGGAAATGCGAAGATTAGGTCAGGGTAGAAGAGATTGGAGCTGAATCTTAAGACTAACAACCATTTGATGATGATGATCACGACTCATAACGCATTTTTGTTAAACATTTCAAAGCGCCGTAAGAAGTCGATTGAATTTGTTTTAAAGCATCGCATACCTGTCACAGTTTACTCATGAAAAATCACTTAATTGAATATAAATTTGGATTTGTATCAGACAGGCGTTTTGTTTTTCAAACGTTTCATTTAGAAAACTACATTTCGCGCTTAAGATAGTCGACTTCGGGAGATATTTTTCGAAAAAATTTATGAAACCATTCAACGGGAATTTCTCTTTTCTTGCCTTAAATAGTTTCTTAGTTAGAAAGTGTTAATTTGTTTACAGTTAAGAGGTTTGTTTCTAATGTTTTCCCTAAATGAAGGATATACGAACAAACCATTAAGAAATAATAAATTTACTAAAAAAATAGAGAAAATATCTAACTAATGCCCTAATGGTATCTACTCGTTTAGAGAACTGGTGTTAGGGCCCCCCTACAAGCAAGATATAAAATTAAAAGAGCCTGAGCGCTGAAGGTCCTCATTGAACCTGTGCAATCGTTTCTTGGTAGAGTTGGAAATTGTTTGAGAAATACTACACAGAACTGAACCGGAAGTTATGATCTCAACAAAGTCACAGTTAGCTCGCTTATTAGATTATACCGAGATTATAATAGAGTTCGTATTTGGGAAAGCTACGAAGAATAATGTAAGTTTTTTGTTCTTGGAAAAGTGGAAAATTAGACAATCAATTGTACTATCTGTGTTTGTTTTCCTTTGTATTGTTTTCTAACAGGGGTGGGTTCAGAAACTACGGAAGACGGAGAACTAGTATTTTCGTATATTTAGCTTATTGAAGTTTTCAATTTAATTTTTAAAATTTAGTACCCTCAAAAATACACGCTTTTTTATATTCAGGGCCACACCTCCTAATTCAATTTTTCTTGCACAACATTTTCAACACTGAACTATTCGATAAAGATTTTCGCGGCCAGTAGGTGAATTGATGCTGTCTTAAATCTAAAGTCTAAAGGCTTGCCAGTTTCAGAATTAGAGATGGAAGGACCTCCGAAGATGGTCCCAGTCGTGTTATCGAAACGTTAGGAAGCAACTCCAATTGACAACGGCCTTTAGATCCGAATCAGGATAGCATCAGTTCACTCAAGTACTCCATAAGCCATAGAGCTCTTTGAAGAGGAAATTTCTGTTTTCAAATTTACCCAAACCCCTTCTGAATTTCGGCACTTACCACTCTCATGGCTCAGACTATTTTCATGAAAAACATGAAACTCATCAGTACAAAATGTGAATAATAATAATTTTTCAAACAATAAGTATTTGTTTAAGTGATTAAGTATTGTTAGCACAAGCGGCTCTTTAATTAATTGGCATAACAAGCGTCGACACATAAAAGAAAAATTTCTTAACAATCAGAAGTTTAGGTAGGTAAACTATAAAAAACCATGCATTTATTCAACATAGATATTAACAAATAAGTATCATAAAATAATTTGGTCTACAATATAAAACCAGAATTTTCTTCAGTTTATTTGGTACCATGTATATTTACAGAATTTATCATTCATGTTTATTTATCATATTTTACATACATTAGTTCCTAATCATATCGTTATTTTCTGTTGAAATTCGATTAAAAATTTAAATTCTGTTTTTTACTAATTGAACATAATTTATTGTATCTCAGATATTCGTAATTACAATAAAAAAGGAATTCAACTTGAAACGAGATTGTAAAAGAAATATAATGTGTTTTCTCTTATAAGGACTTACTTTTGGTAGTAATGTATCTAATGGTAAGAATTGGAAATAATAAGTAAGTCGATAGGCTTCGGTCAAAAAAAAAAAAATTAACAGAAATGTTTTTTTGGATAAATTTGAATTTAAAACAACTTTTGTTCGTCCAAATAGCAAGGGTAGTCACACTGATTAAATAAATTATATCCCTGCATGAGGTAATTTTTATTTATTTTAATATATGTATATACTATAAAAATAGAATAACTGATGGTATAAAATAATAGTTCTTTAAAAGTTAAATTAACATATCATTAAATTTATTTAAAAATAATTAACAAAAAAAGATGGCAAGCACAGAAGAACATAATTATGACATATTGCACCCACAACTGGTCTAAATAACTGGAATTGTAATTATATTCAATTGTGACACATTCACCAATGTTTACGTTCGCTGAAGTATGAAAATTTACTATCTATTAGTTCATTTTCACGAAGAAAACGTGAAACCGTCACGGTAACATTACCGATTCAAAACGAATTCTGAGGAATTATACGTGCAATTAAGAATGAGGACAATTTATTATTGCTTTAATAATTAATTAGTGGTTTAATATTTATATATGTACCTATCACCTGCCTGACAACTAATGTTATATAACACTTATTAGCAGGTTTACTTTCTAGACAACGCATGCATGACTTTACAAATACATAAATGCATTCAAACGCAAAAATGCAGGTTTGTAATGATGCAGGTGTTTGTTCTTGCTTGACTGATTCCTAAAATCTTTTGTTTTATTTAGTTTTAATAGTGTCAATTACAAACAAATGTTGAAAAAATTAATCCATTATTACAGGGATTGAAACCGATAAATAAAATTTAAGGATAAAATATAATAGAACTCACTATATATTAGTTAAGAAAAACCTTTTCGGATATTTAAATGTGTAGATGTACGGACCCTCGTCTGGAAGAGGAGGAAAACCGGTGAGAACGGGGATGACTTTATAGGATAGCACACAAGAGTATTTAGTTGGGGGCGGAGACGTGGGGGTTCAAAGGGGTTAGCTGACAATTGAAAATGCGGTAAGAGATAATTGTGTAGATATATCAGCTGACCGTCTGTAGGAGATGGGGTAGAGATGACCAAATTGAATATTGGAAAGTGTTTTAAGTGGGATTGAGGGGTAGTTGGTAAATGTCTTCCTCTCATCCCACAAAAAATAAAAGAAAACCTAACAATTAGTTCCACTGTCCACACAGTTGGTATGTTTTATTTTGATTTTTTCTACCGCTCCTCTGCGTCTTTTACTGCTGAAAATTGAAAATGGGGTAAGTACTAATTCTACAGGTTAATGAGCTGACCGTCGGTCGGAGTGGGAAGGTTTTAGGTTAGGTTAGGTTATGGCACAGGAGCAGTTGGAGAATGCACCCTTTAAGAAAGGAGAAAAACCTTACAGACAATCCAAGTATCTACCCTCATTTTCAATTTTCAAATCAACCCCGTACGCCATCACGTATCCTCCTGCAACGAGAGGTCATGCATACATCTAGACATTTACTGTTTACTGATGGTGTTCTTTACATACACAAAAATAAAAATGTTCAAGAATAATATTTTTATTATTTCTTATTTTCATTTTTTATGGATTTAAATTTTTTTACCACCATTGTAAATATACATATGACATTAAAAGTTGTTGAGGGATCATGTCAATGCAAAATAATATAAATCAATAACTAATTTTTATCGAAAACATAGAATGATACTAGTCAAGAAAAATTTGCATTATACTGTTCAATTTTATGGATTTTACTAGAAAAATTTTTGCTTCCTGCTTATTATTTCGTTAACGATTAGAACCATTTTTACAACGATTTAGTACATTTCAAATTAAGCAATAATTTATTTTGTCACTTATGGTTAGTTCGGTAGGATTTTATAAACATTAATATTTTTATTAGGCATTCAAAAAAAGCCCTTAATGGCTTGTCTAGTAACACACTGGTATCGTCGCCATGCTTCATCCTCGTTTTCGCTTACCTCCCTCATCCTTTTCGCCAGTTCTTCTTCGTCAAGTTTTTCGTCTGCATAAACGGATGGTACAATCTTTTCCTTTCCTTGTTCATCCCTAACTCGGATCAGTTCTTCTCTGCTGGTTGATGGCATATCTCTTTTATCTCTTACAACTTCAGAAGTCAAAACATACGAAGACACATCAAAAGAAGGTTTATGAACCACTTTGAGATGAGTGGTTTCGGTCACTTCTCTCACAATCTTCCCCGGTGGAATTTCCGGTGACGGTTTCAGAACTGATCGGGGTGGAGGAAGATCGGGTAGACCAACGCCAAGAACCATCCTCTCTTTGGCAATGTGTTCTCTTGTGTCTTCCTTGCCATGTTCCCACCAAGGTGAAAAACGGTGTTCACATTCTGATGCTGTATTGTAAGATGAAGATCTAGAGTGTTGAAGGGTGCATTCTGAAGCTGTTTGGAACTCTTCATCGGACCTCAGCTCGTCCGGTTTTGTTGGTTTTGCTGGCGGATTTGCCTTCTGTAATTGTCAAAATTAGGAATTACTTAATTTATATATTCCATTAAGTACAATGACATTATTGATAATAATTCGTAAACATTCGAATATACTTTGTTGTAAATTAATCGTTTCTTACCAGCCTAAACTATTCTCTATGAGTATTTCATACAAATTTTATAGAGTCCTTGCAGATATACGAATTGCCTATGCCTTTAATTGATGTCTTTTGTATAATTAATTGAATGAATGACTTTGAATTTATAGGTAAGGAAGTTATCAGGTACCTAATTATTATTTTCTAGATACGGAAATGGTAATTAAAATAGGTGTAAAGGAAGTAAGATATTTTAACTGTCTTAGTATCAACGAACAAATGCAAATGATAATCTTAGTTTTCTTACTTCCGTTTGGCATAGCGAACTGAAAGTTTAGGAATCAGTTTACATTACAGCTCATTAGCCTAAAAAAAATAACTATTAACAATCATGTACATTAACACTATGATAATTAAGTATATGGCTTCCTATTGCTTGTAATAAACATTACAGTAGTAACTACATTTATTATATTGCCGTTGAAGTAATTTAATTCATATAATTGGTGACTTTTAGACTTTTGGACTAGCACGATAAGACCAGACTTGACTATATTAATCCTGTGGTTATTTTGATACAGTATTAACGAATTTTGGAAACATTATAAATTATTAAAAGTAGGGAAAGAGCGAATGTAAAGATAGGAGACGAAAGATTAGAAGAAGTGGCTGATTTTAGGTACCTATCTAGGAAATCAGATTAGTCAGGACGGAAGGAGTGGTAGCGATATAAAGCAGAGGATAGCGCAGGGTAAAATCGCCTTCAATAAAAAGAAGTCAATTTTAGAAATTCGAAAAAGATTGTTAAAGATGTTTGTTTGGAGCGTGGCGCTGTACGGGTGCGAAACATGGATGGTAGACACGGAGGAAAATAAAATGTTCGAAGCGTTCTAAATGTGGTTTTGCAGGCGAATGATGAGGATACCGTGGACAGAGAAGGTTAGAAATGAAGAGGTATTAGAAAAAATGGCAGAACAGAGGACTATATGGAAGTTAATAAAAAATAGGCGAGATAGGTTGGTAGGACACCTTCTCAGGCATGAAGGTCTAGTCAGAGACATTAGAGGCAGAAACGGAAATTATCAGGGGTAGAAGTAGACCTAGATTAGATTACTGGTCACTAATACATAGTTAAGGATGTGGGATGTTCAAGTTTTAGGGAAGATTAGCTCACGATAGGAAGGAGTGAAGGTGCTTGTCCAACAGTCTTAGGACTGACGACCTTATGATGATGATACAGTTGACTTACAAGAAAAGTGCACAAAACAATTAGCTCAGGATATGAGAAAGTGAATGATGATCTTGATAAACAAGTAACATACCTGTTCAAAAGTATTCAGAAATTCCATTTCAATACGTATTAACCAACATTCCCATATTGCTCATGATTTACTCGCTTAATTTAATCTAATTAGTATTCAGCAGTTCAATTAAGTGAATAATTTAAAAATCAGATATACTTTTCGTTGTTTCACAAACACCTATTTGAACGTTAATATAATCAGAATAAGGAAATGCGTTACATGTTTAATCGGTGTAGATAAACGTTTAAGACACATTTATAATATTTATGTATACACATGTATGCACATATTATGACTATAAATCGGAACCAGTATTGATCCATTTGTGGACAAAAGGCACTTTCTTCTGGGGATTTTACTTTAAATACTCGGAAATTGGTGTTAACGAATCAGTTGGGACTTAAGATCGAAATTAGTCAAGACTCAATAATGGATAGCAGTTTAGTAAGTAGAACTATTAAGTTATTAATGATTAATCGACATTTTTAAAAAGGATATTCACTTTTTGTGTTAGATTTTTTTATACCTAAGCATAAAACTAAATATAATCATTAAAAACATACACAAAAATAAAAATGTTCAAGAATAATATTTTTATTATTTCTTATTTTCATTTTTTATGGATTTAAATTTTTTTACCACCATTGTAAATATACATATGACATTAAAAGTTGTTGAGGGATCATGTCAATGCAAAATAATATAAATCAATAACTAATTTTTATCGAAAACATAGAATGATACTAGTCAAGAAAAATTTGCATTATACTGTTCAATTTTATGGATTTTACTAGAAAAATTTTTGCTTCCTGCTTATTATTTCGTTAACGATTAGAACCATTTTTACAACGATTTAGTACATTTCAAATTAAGCAATAATTTATTTTGTCACTTATGGTTAGTTCGGTAGGATTTTATAAACATTAATATTTTTATTAGGCATTCAAAAAAAGCCCTTAATGGCTTGTCTAGTAACACACTGGTATCGTCGCCATGCTTCATCCTCGTTTTCGCTTACCTCCCTCATCCTTTTCGCCAGTTCTTCTTCGTCAAGTTTTTCGTCTGCATAAACGGATGGTACAATCTTTTCCTTTCCTTGTTCATCCCTAACTCGGATCAGTTCTTCTCTGCTGGTTGATGGCATATCTCTTTTATCTCTTACAACTTCAGAAGTCAAAACATACGAAGACACATCAAAAGAAGGTTTATGAACCACTTTGAGATGAGTGGTTTCGGTCACTTCTCTCACAATCTTCCCCGGTGGAATTTCCGGTGACGGTTTCAGAACTGATCGGGGTGGAGGAAGATCGGGTAGACCAACGCCAAGAACCATCCTCTCTTTGGCAATGTGTTCTCTTGTGTCTTCCTTGCCATGTTCCCACCAAGGTGAAAAACGGTGTTCACATTCTGATGCTGTATTGTAAGATGAAGATCTAGAGTGTTGAAGGGTGCATTCTGAAGCTGTTTGGAACTCTTCATCGGACCTCAGCTCGTCCGGTTTTGTTGGTTTTGCTGGCGGATTTGCCTTCTGTAATTGTCAAAATTAGGAATTACTTAATTTATATATTCCATTAAGTACAATGACATTATTGATAATAATTCGTAAACATTCGAATATACTTTGTTGTAAATTAATCGTTTCTTACCAGCCTAAACTATTCTCTATGAGTATTTCATACAAATTTTATAGAGTCCTTGCAGATATACGAATTGCCTATGCCTTTAATTGATGTCTTTTGTATAATTAATTGAATGAATGACTTTGAATTTATAGGTAAGGAAGTTATCAGGTACCTAATTATTATTTTCTAGATACGGAAATGGTAATTAAAATAGGTGTAAAGGAAGTAAGATATTTTAACTGTCTTAGTATCAACGAACAAATGCAAATGATAATCTTAGTTTTCTTACTTCCGTTTGGCATAGCGAACTGAAAGTTTAGGAATCAGTTTACATTACAGCTCATTAGCCTAAAAAAAATAACTATTAACAATCATGTACATTAACACTATGATAATTAAGTATATGGCTTCCTATTGCTTGTAATAAACATTACAGTAGTAACTACATTTATTATATTGCCGTTGAAGTAATTTAATTCATATAATTGGTGACTTTTAGACTTTTGGACTAGCACGATAAGACCAGACTTGACTATATTAATCCTGTGGTTATTTTGATACAGTATTAACGAATTTTGGAAACATTATAAATTATTAAAAGTAGGGAAAGAGCGAATGTAAAGATAGGAGACGAAAGATTAGAAGAAGTGGCTGATTTTAGGTACCTATCTAGGAAATCAGATTAGTCAGGACGGAAGGAGTGGTAGCGATANACGACCTTATGATGATGATGATGATAAGAGAACTAGTACCTACCTACAGTTAATTTTAACGAAATTTGAAAGCTTTGCCCTGGCCCTACAAACATAATGGAATTTGGTTATAAAATCGTCGGTAATAACGTCGCCGAACAATACCTCTACTGTAATTGCGTTTTAATGTCATTTTGGGAAGCAGTTCAATTATCTGTCAGATGCTGTAGGTATTGATTTTACAGGCACCTCCCCATTACCATTACGATTATCATGTTCACGATTTAAAAAAGCATGACATTAAAAGCCAGTGGGAAACCAGGGACCATCACAAAGTGAAGGGATCGTATAGTGTGCTCCAGCCTGACCACAGGCGAAGGATCGTCGATTATGAAGGAGACAAACATGGGATCAAGTATCACGTCCGGTACGAAGGCGGTCACTACAGCAGCGGAATTTAGATCTTTATTGTATTTTTAATTTATTTTATTATTTCGTTGACTTGCGGAACTCGTTAACATTAGCGTTTTTTTTACTCTTGATGTTGGTGTAAAGCCAGTGTTGTTTTTGATTATTGTTGCGTTTAATAAATGTTTCAAACAAGTTTTTTTTTAATTTTTATTTACGATTGGTCATGGGTTTTCAGCGGACGAACTATTAATGAAAAGAGCGGTTCTACTTTGTTCTTTGTACTTGATAGTGACTAATATCTAATAATGTTTTAAACATTGATGCGAATTAATATTCTTTATTACAATTTTTTTTAACTTGTTTGGGTCGAGGCGGTTTATTTGTTTTGAAAGTATTTTTAAAAATTTTACGTTCCCTATAACTATTTATACGAACGCTGTCAACTTGTGATGAATCATTCGTGACATTAAAAATAGGAAATATGTAGTAATTTTCTCCAGAAACAGAGATCTGTTTACCAGATGTTGCAGCTACCAGGTGATGTGTTTGAATAGCAGGACGTCCGCTCCTGAGATCCTGGTAGTATTTGGTCGCATATACAAAAGACAACAGGAATTCCTGTGAAGGAAAGAAAGTACGCCATTCCCTCCCGAGACTGTATTGTCATCACCCTAACCGAAAACAAGGATAGCACCGCGCTCCAAACACCTTTAACAATCTTTTTCGAATTTCTAAATTATCCTTTCGCGAGCATATAAATGACTACATTCCTACTACTCCTTTTGTCTTGACTTATCTAACTTCCTTGATATCTAAAATCAGTCACTTCTTCTAATTTTTCATACTCTGTCTTTATATTCGCTCTTTCCCTACTTTTTCGTCCCTTGCATATCAGTGTTTTTGTTTTACTTTTATTTATTTTCATACAATAGTGTTTTGAATACCGCTTCCATTTTACTTAAAGCTTTCTTTAATGATGTTGATCGCGTCTTCGATGTATAGATTAAAAAGTAGCAGTGATAATGTGCATCTCTGTCTGACTCCTTTCCTAATATTTACTTATCTACGTTGCAGCTCCAGCTCTATACCTGCCTATAACACTTTTCGATGTCTGTACAACCCTATATTTTACATCTTGTCCTATTTAACATTGTCAAAAGCTTTTCCTAAATCTACAAATCCTATGTAGACGTTCTTTCCTTTTTCTAGCGTTTTCTCTGTTGTTACCCGTATACCTGTTTATACTTGCTGCGTATAAATTTATAAATCACCACGAATTTTAAATAATTTATTATGTAATACCTGTACAGTTAACCTTCTGTAACTGGAACTTCTATAACTACAAAACTTTATGTTTTCCAAATTTTAATAGGTATGCTTTTATTCTTTACATATCCATAAAAAATTGTAAAAATATTTATGAACTTATATATCATTCCCATATTTGCATCCTAGTCTATCTGTGTACACAGGATTAGGAACTTGTAATTTGTACCACGAAAAAGGATTGTACCAAAAGTCGAATTTAAATTAATTTATTTATTTGTCGATTCCAACACTGTTTATCACTAGTTTACTTATAATTTTTAATGCCCATTATGGAATTCAACAAATATTCCTGAAAACGGCCTGATGTAGCGCAATGTGCCTGCCTAGTTTTGCACAGCAGAAAGTGGGAGATTATCCAAATGTTTCTGACATAATAATGAATAATCTCTCGTCGAAAAATTATTACCTTTGTAGCTTAGAGCACCTAACAGTAGATCGACAAAATGTTAGTGTAAAGTAAAGGTATGGGAGTAGGATTTCCTCCCTTAAGGGGATACAATTTTAGACCAAAATCCAAATACAAATTCAGTTAGTATAAATAATTGTATATGTCCGCTGAATAATAACTGAGAAGTATTTCACTAACCTCCATTATGTCCAAAGCAGATTCTAAGTTTACTTTTGCATTTACTTGAACAACAGTTGTAGGTGTTGTTGATAGGCTTGAAGACGCGCTGGAGTCAAACTCTATATCCAATCCACAGTCTTGCTGCGCACTCTTCAACGCTTGATCCAATTCTTCAGCTAACTCTGTGACTTCCGTGAGTTTTTCTGAAATAGCTTCAACACACACTTGGTTATCTTCTACAGATGTGTCTCTAAATCCTGTTACGTCTTCATCGTTGAAATCGTTTTCGGAAAGACTGAAAACAAAAAAATTATTAATTGATATTCAAAACCTTCACATCGCAGATATACAGAAAATGATTTCAAAAGGTGTAAAACACAGATGCATATACAAAAATTGATTTATAGGTACGATATGTTTTGTCCTCTGTTAAGCTGATAACAAATATTTTGATTGATTTTATCGAAAAGGTAGAAAGCTTTTAGCAGAAACTGAAGGGCGCGCTTAGGTATTTTATTAATAGTGTACTACTTTTAAGTTTGCTGATTAAAGTACTGCTTGATTCAGGTATAATTGAAGTACTAAGTAGTTAGTATCTAAATTTTATCAGGGTTTTCACTGATACGAAAACAATTTGGAAGGAATTGGAGGACTAGAAGCTGGACGATAGCTTAATTTAAGATTACTGTCAAAACCAAATTTATTTCGAAAGTTAGAAAGCTTCTAGCAAAAAGCTGAACACTGCATTTATGTATTTCTTCAATAGTTGCCAATGAAATAGCACTTCCCATAGAATAATACTGAAAGACTATTAATACTGGTTATCTGACTTTACAGACAACACGTTTTTCGAACTGCAATTGTTCTAAAAAGGTACTAGCCATCTATAAATGATAATGTCTCTTCGTCTAAGATGATAAATAATATGATAGGTATTTTAATTTGGAAATTCATTAATTTAAGATTGCCAAAAAAATGTTCCCAAATATTGTAATAATATTTTAATTAGTTCAAAGTAAAGTATTATACATTACTGAACAATCGAAAAAACATTAACATTTATATACATTTGCAATTTATAATCAGTTAATTTTGGAGTAAAGTCAAGAGAGACAGTTTAATCATGCCTTTGGAACAAACTTTTCTTTTCTTTTATTTAATCTCTACTTTCGTATTCATATATTATTTGATTAATCAAGTAGGTATCTATTAAGGTTATTTTTGCTTTGGCTGGCACCGACTCCAAAAATAACTGATTATAAATTGTAAATGTACGAGGGTGGATTGATAAGTTTCCGGCCTAACCAAGAGATGACGCCACTAGGCCTACCTTGAGGTGACATTCTATAGTACCATCCTTGGATAGCTTGTAGCTATAGTTTCAGCCCGATCTCCTTGCTAGTGTAGGTTTGACAGCACG